TATTAGAGGTGGCAGAACATTTCAAGCATATTTTTGACTAGCTTATTCAAATAAGTAGGCTATGCTCCATGTGAATGTAATCCTGTGAAACGAGTAGACTTTTATCATATTTAGTATTAGCACGTCAGATCTTACGTTAATCAATAGACTCCTCCAGTACATAGTGTACTTGTGGTAACGTTCTCAGACCAGTTTTAGAAGAATGGTTTTAATGATTAAATCTGTATCACACTAGGCACTATCTTAAATTCCTAGTTTTTGTCAGCATAACAGTTTTCAAAGTAACATATAGACCTTTTTAATCAGTTCCCTCTAACACTAAACATTTGAAGGTTTGTAATTTATCAACGTAAGCCCACATCACCTACACACTGTGCAAACAGTATTTAGATGATATCTGTTAAGTATGTCTTCAATAACTTCTAAAAATGTTTAAACAATATTAATTGTTCAGTGATAATTGCGCATTCCTCAAAAGAGTTGTTAATAATATTTACAGTAAACCCACATGACTTGGTAGCTCTTTTTTCCTGAATATTAAATTGAATATTCATAGCACCAGGATATTCAAAGACATGTTATCTCTTGTCAATTCATTATTTCATTTCACAACTTAAGTTTAAATAATCTTTATTATACCAATGTTCTCTCATTAAAGAAACTCTCAAATAATTCTATTTAGTTGTAAAGCCTTTATATCATTTCTCTCCTCAAAGGCTACAAAAAAAGTAATAAGGTTTTTGAGACACTTCGAAATGTTTAGTAGCAGTTTTTGCTCTCATGATCAACATTTAAATGTTCTACCAGTACATACCCAGATGGCCAATATTCTTAGTTGCATTTCTAACGATTAATCTTCAAGCATTCAAAGGTGATCTTACTTCTATTCATAAGTAAAAAATATCCCTCTTTTTCTGCATCAAATTCCGAGAGAATGCTTTAATTTAAGATTGGAGCTTCTTTTTCTTGGATTTACAGAATATTTTATTCACTAGCAGATGAGTTTTAATTCTACCAAGATATAATATGGTCATTGTCCTTCTTAGCATATTAAATTATCATTATTGGTCTCCAGGTTAATGATAAATCTTTCCAGTATTAAATATTACCCACATCTGATTTATACTCTTTGAAATCCATCATATTAAGAAAGTTAGTATAAAATTTATTAAATAATAGTATGATTCACCATCTAAAATTATGACATATTCTATTTTACTAATCCTACTTCCTTTGAAGATATTAAAACAATAGTTTAAAGGGAACTGCCTTCAATCATCAATTAAAAGTTTATCGTATCCAACATTTTTAAGCAACTCATTAAGTTGCTTTGATAGTTTCCTTCCCCTTAAAAAAATTTAGCTTCAAGGCTGATGTATAAGTAAATTCACAGCTTTTAAAATCAATCTCTTAATCTTTTAATAACACAGCTATTAAAAGCAATTCTAAATATCCTTAACTATTTCATCATATTTCATCTACTTTAAATTCCCCGTTATTATTTATTGCACTTATAAAAAAGGCAATTAGTATTTAATCTTAAGATAGAAATATCATATAATCTTTCTAGTATATCGACTTATGAAAACCAATTACATTTAAAATTATTCACTCTCCTAAATTTCAAATTAATCCATTAGTAAGTAGTTTAGCTTCTTTTTCGGCTTCGAACATAAGTAGAGTCTAAAAACTATTTATGAAAGTAGACACTCATTATCATATCAGAATTTAAGTGAATAGTTATTGAAAATTGCTATAAGTCTGAGTTTGGTGTAATGTACTAGTAGTATTAAGTTTGTTATTATTAAATTTGAATGAGTACTTTATATTATTCATAAATTCTTTATTTCCAATGCTTAGTAATTATTGCATTCCTATTCTTTATTAAATTATCTAATTATGACAGCAAGTCTTAAATGGAAATTAGTGTAAAAATGGAATAGATTAAAACTAAATTCAAATTAGTCATTAAACAATATTGAGGTAATAGTTTATGAATTTATCATTCTAAAAAATTTTCTTGTAAAATATTCTACATGTGAGTTAAAAATT